GAAAACAGTCTCCCTAACGGTGAGTGATTTGAATTTCCTGGAGCATTTTTGTACTTTTATTTTTGTAAGAACTGGGTTCTGGAAACTAGTCAACTAGTACATGAATATAGGAATCCAAAACATATTGAAACCATTTTAAAGTCTGTGTTTTATAAATGTAAGGTTTAAAAGAATGTTTAAAATAGGAGTGGTTGTGAGAAACGTTTTAAGAAGCTGTTTTTTTTTTTTTTTTGAAATAAGGCAGCATGACTTGGCAGAGAGAAAATAATATGTTAGGAAACATTGCAAAATAATAGGATAATCCTAACAAAAAGACACTGCACTTGCAAAATAACTTTAAAACCTCTCAGTAGTGCATTACAAATAGTAAACAAGTAAATCTCGTATATCCTAGTGAGAGTTATTAGATGCACTAGAAAGATTGCTGAAGTAGCTGTACTTAAGGAAGAAGTGCTCGGAGAAATTTGGCCCCATGAGTGCTGGGTGGATCACGTGGAGGACGACCTGTGCCTTTCACTGTGTTGGGGTCTGCTGTGGAGACCCAGACATCTCCACGTCCCTCAGTGGCGCTGCTACCATGTAGTGGCTCCAAGAACTATAATGCAGAGCAGTCAGCTGATTAATTTATCTGCTCTTTCAGCGAGACAGCTCCAAGACCAGAGCTGATACCAGGCTGCCTCTGTATCTCTTGTCTTCAGCCCAGCCCAACACAAACAGGGCACAGCTCGGGAGCTGAGCAGATTTTATAAGCAAAACCCAGCTTGCTGCTGCTTTGGTTCTCATTAATTCATGTCGGGGTATTGAGCCTGTGGCCATGGGCAACCTAGGGGGACAGCGTGTGTGCCCCAGCACCCTGCCAGCTGCCCCTTCTCCTCGGGGAGTTTGGGAACAGGTGGCGGGTCACAGTCCTCTCGCTTCCCTCCTCGCTGAATGGTTTTGCACCTGGATGAGAGTCGGGCAGAGGAGTAATGCTGACTTGAGACGTGTGTGTTGCCACAGGAGCTGATCTTCCCCTCTTCCAAAGGTGCAGATATCCCGTGCATGGTAACCAAGCTGCAGGCGGCCCAGTACAAGCCCTACTTGTGCTGCAGGTGTGCAGTGGGTCTGGCAGAGCAACTGGGCGAGGGCTGAGGCATCATGCCCTCTGTGGCACTGAAACACATGTGCCTACCCAGACACTGCCGACCAGTGTTTTGGGGGCCATGGAGGGTGATTCAGAGAAGGTAGGAAGACTAGCGTTGTGGGAGAGGTTCAGCTTAATGATTTTGGAGCTGTGTCTTACATTTTCCTGTTCCTGAAATATGCTTTTTAATAACCTCTGGACATGCTGCAGGAGCTGTCCTGGATCAGTTACGCTCAGCACCTTGAAATATGCTTCTTCCTTACCTCTACTAAGTGACTGTTATTGCATTTGGACAAATGAAACTGGGGTTTTTATCAGCGTCTCATTATCTATGCCAGAATTGCTTAGGCATAGTTATTACCCTCATTTAGTAACATATGTATAGAGATCCTAAATGCTTTCTGCAGTATAAATATGCCTTCCACGGTATGAATTAATATACCGATTCAAGTGGCATTAAAATGAAAAGCTGTTTTGAACAGCTACATGCATTTGAAAATGACTATGATAAAAATAATTTTGTACAAATTGCTCAAGAGGATCACACCTGTGATTAAGGGGAGGCTTTCCCTGGCACAGTGGGTCCTAGCGTCTGAGCCTGTGGCCTGGGACACAGCCTGGGGCTCTCGCACCACAGTACAGGTGGCCCTAATGGTCTGCTGCTGTTGCAGGTTGGTCTGTGAACGCTCGCTTTGCACAGCTGAACAGCTCAGGTCTGTTCCAGGAGCTGCTATGTCTCCTTTGTATTTCTTGTACTGATCAGAGCCCTGTATTTCATGTCCAGAAGTACTACTCAATCATTTAGTCCCAATGATGCAGCAGAAATGGGGTAAATACTGTTGATTCGTTAACACTTATCCAGTAATCACTTATCCCAGCTTTAGGAGCATTTGCAAAGAAATTACAGATATTGCCAAATTTCATATAGAGTCAACAGCTGTTCTTCCTCCCAAGCAGAAAATAAATCAGAAAACATACTTTTTCCTTGCAGATATCAACCCATGCCTTTAATGCCTGGGAAGGGTGTGCGAGTTCCAGAACAAAAGTAGCTGGGACACTGTAGCTGATTGCTTCAGCCAGGGTCTGGCTGCCCAGCGTGAAGGAAGGAGGGAGGACAGGACACAGTTGGTCTCAACAGGCAGCCCAACCCATGTCAGGTTTTGCAGGTCACAAGGTTACCATGAAATCCGCCTGGGCATTGGGTCAGAGTCCGTGCTAAATTTAATTGTCTTTATGGTGCTAGGTGTAGGAATTACTTGGTCAAAATCAGTCAACGATGTTATACAGGCAGTTGGAGTTACAAAGTGTTTCTCTTCCTTTGCAAACTGGTGATCTTAATATTGAAATAACATTTTTCATGACTTCCTGCGTTGGCTGCTTAGGTGGAATGCCTGTGTGTGGGACGGGGGTCTGTATATCTGTACTTTTTGGACAGAAAATCTTTCTGCTCAGAGGAGAGCAGCATGAGGGCAGAGTGTGAGTGGGGTTTTCTTTATGTTAGGTGGCAGAAGGTTTTCCACTGCTTCTTAACTGTGTTTGCCCTCTACTTTTTGTAAGAAATAGGACTAGGATAACGTAATGTTCGGTATTGGCTACTCCATGACTGGAGTCCTGAAGCCAGTTTTAAATATGATATGGATGTTGCCAGGAATAGAAGCCTCTCCTAGGAAATGAATGCCACCCCTCATCAGAGTCTTTGTATGTACCATGAGTTTTTGTTTCACAATAGCATAACTGGAACCGCCACAACTTACACTCGCACATTCAGAAACTGCCCAGAAATGTATGTATGTAACCGAGAAAGTTGTAGGGGACAGTCCTTCTATGGCTGCTGGATATAATGAGAAATGTTAATGTGAAAATTAGTTGATCAGTCAGCTGCAAAGAGATGTGTGCTCTTTTCTAAGGATTGGATTATTATAGTTCAGAAACGTCAGTTCTGGACCAGTCTTAGTTGGAGAAGGACACAGCTATCTAGCAATCCACTGAAAAATAACATTACTCCTTTAGCTGGCTTCATCCTTGGGACTCTTGTGATGTAAGTCAATGATTTGAGCTTTAATTATATATCCTGTCATATTATTTGTATTTGAGAGAGGGAGTAGCTGCCCCATGCCACACCACCCTCACTAAATCCAGTACATCCTGTTCTATTCTTTCATCTTTTCAAGGTGAGGTCACACATTTTAGAACTGCCCTCTAGCTCTGAGAGTTACAGCTTTGGATTCTGCCCCATCTGACATCTCCCACTTAGGGAGGAATTCCCTCTTCCATGCAAATGCAGCTCCGCTTGTCTGCGCATGGAGGTCTGACCCATTCTCTGCTCCAGTAATCCCCGTGAGTAGGGCAGTAGCTGCTCTGTAGGTGCAGTTCTCTTGCTCTGTTCTGGGACCTGTTGAGCATAAAGCCTGCTGAAGGCTGGGAAGCAACAATTTAGACTTTCTGTTGCCAGACATCAGTGTTGCGAACACTCACGTCTTGTTTTCTCTGGCCTAATGTAGAAGAAAATGCACTGGGAGCTATGGGGGAGGACATCTAATAGTGCATGAATTCTTTTACCTCATGCAGGAACATCAGCAGGGTGGTGGGAAGCTTTCTGCCAGTGGGCAGAAGCAGGATGGCTCTCCCCTGTAAAGACTAAGGGGCCGAGAGTTAAAGTGGTTACAAAACACCATTGTTCCAGCTTTGCCAAGAGCCATGCTCTACCTCTCACACCAAGCACTTTCTTCCACATGAATTGTCTCATGGAAACTGAGGGGGCTGGTGTGAAACTGAATTCTGCACAACAAACTTGGGTTCAGTAATTAACCCTCAAACTCTGTGCTGCAAAAGTACTTCAGTGATCAATAACAAAGAGGAAGAATATTTTAATTTACAAGACACACTGACTGCTTGGCTGCCAGTAGCTGTAGGATGTGATCCAAAACCGTTTAATGTCAATGGCTATCTCTCTGTTCACTTCAGCGGAGCTGACCTACAGGGGCCTTTGTTATAATGCATCCTTATTAGTCCAGTTGAGTATGGCAGTGCCTAAGGGCGAGCGTAGGATGGCTCTCCTCTGTTGTACAGGCACAAAGGAGGCCATCTGGGCAGCAGAGAGCTTCCGCTCTAAACAGAGAAGACACAAGAGCAGGTCAACAGAGCAAGCAACCATCACACCTGCCCCCTGATTGGGAAGAGGCAACAAGAGAGAGGGAGGGGAAAACAAAAAGCTTAGAGCCTGATATGGCGTAAAAGAGGTGGCAAAAGAAGAAATCCCTAAGTGTTGATTTTCCTATGTGATAGCTTGTGAGTTGTTCATCTTGGCAGTTGCTGGCCAATTCCCGTTGTGTCTGTATATCCCAGACTCACTGCACGTGCATTTGGGTAATTTCTCCATGGTCTCAGCAGAACAAGTTAACTGAGGGCCTAAGCATCTGATCCTGATCTCACCAGTTTTAAAGGGTTTATATACCTCTAAGTTAAGCACATGCTGAAGTGCTCTGGAAGGGCATAGGGAGAGTTTTGTACTGCCTAGGCTCTGGGAAAAGACAGAAAGTGTTTGTGATTGGTGTAGCCGATCTGGAATACACCACAAACACCAGATTAATCTAATTTGAAAGCTTTGAATTAAATCTGTTTACTGTAATGGAGCCTCCCACAGTTCCCCACCTTCTTCTTGTTTCCTGGTATATTTTCATTTGGGAAAGCTGTAGTGTGAATGTGTTCTCTGTGCTCGACTGAATCGCGATACTGCCACGTTTTTTGGTATTAGCATTAAAAAAGAAAGTCACGACATCATTAGCTTTTCTCCCTTGCTCCTTTAGATTGCCTTGAATGCATTCCTGTTTAGGTCTTAACCAAAACCTACTTACTTCCTTGTTTCTTATCCTTCCAGCTTCTTCGAATGCAATGACTCAGCAGCTACAGGATGAATTTGACAGTAGTGTGGAGAATGCAGAAGCTTGGATGAAGGCCATCCAAGAGAGACTGAGGATCAATGACAACACCAAGGGACCTCGATCTGCCCTAGAAGCCAGACTGAGAGAGACTGAGGTAAGGGAAGAGTGATGTACCAGTTCAGAGGTGGCTGTCACTGCTGCCATTTTTACAGCAGTTATTTGCTGTGAGCTTTGGAGTATTCCATTAGGAAACTATCAGCTGCCCGTTTGCTGGAATATTGGTTCTGTGTGGATGGGTTTACATCAGTATTCTTTCTAATTTTTCCATCTGCAAAATGTTTACAGACATTGTAGAAAAAGAGGATGGCAATTTGATATCACAGGCTTCTAAGCTTTTCAGACTGATTTGGAAGACTAGCAGCAGGTTTGGCAGGTTAAAATGTTTACGCTCTCCTATGAGCATGCTCAAACCTGAAACAATTGAGTTGCTGCTTGAAATAACCAGGTAGGGATTTGCAGAAGTCCAGCATGTAGCACAAGAGAATCAGATCATAGTAGTGTTCCGTCTCCTCCAGAACTCTGGCACTGATAGAGAAAGATTGCAGTGTCCTAGTAATGGGCTGTTCCAGACTAATCCCATTGTCCTTTTCCATAAACCCTGATGATAAGAGGGTTTACAGCTCCCCTTTATAATCTGTCTAATGAAAAGATAAACGTGTTCATTTTTTTCTGTTCTTACTTAATCTCTTGTATAACTCTTCTCACAGAGATCCCGTTGCAGATTGTGCCTGCTCTCTTACTGTGATTTCACATTCATTAACTTCAGTTTCATTAGATGTTATCTTGTTCTTGTAGTCTCAGAGAATTAAATACTCCTGTTTGTCCCATCTCTACCATTCATGATTAGAGGGAGTGGTGGTATTTCTATGATTAACATTGAAACTATTTTTATACTTGTATTACCTTTAATTCCAACTAGTCTGTTCTTTAAATTAAATGGCCAAATCTTTCCCATCCTTATTTACCCAAAAGTCTGTCTTTTTGTGTGCCTACTCATGTTTGGACTGCCTCTTCTGAAGCTTAACAACTCCAAAAAAACCATTGCAGACTTACATGGAGGATGAGCTAGTTTACATGATGGTACAGCAATGTCTTCAGCCTTTTTCCTTAACTGTGGCTCATTGGAGGCTGGATCTTGCCTCTGGCATAATATAAAGACTGTTCATGGAGTGATGGATGATGGCTAGACTTGCATGTCAGTCATTAAAATCTGAAGTATTTCCTCTTGGTCTATCGATTTATTTCTGCCCTTAAATTATTTTCACCCTTTCCTTTTGTCTGGGAAACTATGATATGTACAGTCTCAGAAAATGTGCAAGAAACACAGGAACTTGAGTAGGGAGAGTGGTAGTTTGGCAAAGGGGGTGCATTCATGGCAGAGATAACAAGATGTAAGGTTTAGAGGATTGTGGTGATTTAATATGGCCTGAACTGTGGGCTTTGGAGGAGGTCTATAGCATGCACAAAATCATGTTAGAAGAATTTTTCAATTCAGATTTTGGAAATTCATCATTCTAAAGAATAACAAGTGTCTGTTCTCTCTTCCTGTGTGTACTTTATCCACCTCCTGCTCCCTCATCCTGCCTCCTTTCTGCGCCTGGCTTCCCTGCCTAGCTCATGTCTCCTTGTGATGTGCTCGCTGCTTCGCCTATTGGCTGTTTTCAAATCTAATGATCATTTTTCAGTTCCTTTCTTGCATCTGGCTTCCATTTTTTTTTCATGCTTCCTTCCTGTGGTTTATTTTCTGTTAATTTGTTAATGAAAATGCCAGCCAAAAATAGCAATCGTTTAGAAACCAGATTTGAAAAAGAAAAATGCCTGTACAGCCACTGCTTTCTCTCTGGCTGTTGTTTGCTTTCACTTGCTGGAAAAATGTCAGGCTTAGAATACAGCTTTACTCTTGAATTTTTCCTGTCAGGTGATAGCTATGGCTTTTATTTTCTTTCTCTGCCCTACCCTTTGCCCTGCTTTCCTGGATGCTTTTAATCACACTTTTTGTAGTAGATAGTTCGTCCAAACACCTGTTTGTACGTCACATGCAGATGTGCTGTGTACATGCCAAAAGGACAGTCTTTTCCCAGAATGTGAGACTGGAAATCCAAAGGCCTGTGATTTGGTCTCACCTTTGCAATAACTGACGTGATTTTTTTGGACAAATCCGATGGGCCTAATCTTTCCAAAAGTAGTTGCTGATTTTGAACCCCTCAGCGTTTTCATTGTAGAAGCCTTTTCCTTCAAACTCGAGAGCCTGCAGTTTGCCAGGAGTTTGTGGAAGAACAGCAAGAAAAGCTAATCTGATGGTGTCAGAAATCTGGATAAAGTGATGCTGATAACTGACATCCAAATCAGGACATAATTAATCTGTTGCATTTTACAGAAGTTGTGCTGATTTTCCATTTCTGGGTAGAGGAAGAGAATCTACTTAAAATTAGATGGCTTAACTTTCAGTTCCTGGCATTCCAATTTGTGTAAGAAACACGTTTTCACCAATTCATAACTTAGCAATTTAGGGTGAAAGCAAAAGTTGGTAGCAGGCAGAAAATTCCACTAGTTAATTTCTCTTGGCTTGTGTTCTGAGCCAACTTTTATTTGCAATAGGAAGCCTTTTTAATATGCTTCATGATTTCTTGTAGTAGAGCTTAAAATTGAGACGTTGCAGTATACCCTGTGGAGATTGCCTCTGCACTCTTTGGCAGGTGGGGGGAGAAAACTGGCATGTGGCAACATAGTGCTATAACTTCATAACCACAATGGAAACAGCCGGAGATATTTGATAGAAGATGATCTGGTTTTTGTAGCTAACTTAAAATGTTTTTCAATTGCTACATGGTTTTCAATTCAGTTCAGTCCTTTAGGACATTTAAGAATAAACAAATCTGAAGAGAAGTTCATATTTTCTGTTCAGGAGAAGCTTTGCAGCAGGGACTTCATGATTCCTGGGTAAAAACAAAGTTTAAATGGCAACAGTTATGCTTGCTTTCTTTTCATGCTTTCAGTCTCATTTGTTTTTCTCATAGAAAATACGTGCACTGGAACCAGAAGGCAGCTTGAAAATGGACTTGATTCTTGTGAAGGCAGATGCTGCTCTTCGCAGCATCAGTGAGGATAAGAAGCACGAGGTACTATCTAAACTGAAAGACATTAAAGCCTTGTGGGAAGAGACAGCCATATACATTACTCACTGTCACAGGTAAGACAAATGTACTCTTTGCACAAGACTGCTATTTGGTGTGTTGAGGCAGTTGTCTCATCCAGTGCTTTCATAAAGTGCTTCCTGCCTTTCTCTGCTGTCTGGATTGTAGATGGCAATCACTGCTAATCCCAGTCCCGTGAGCATGTGGGGGACTGTGCGGGAGAGAGGGTTGGTGGGACCTCAGTGCTCTCTCCCTTCACAGCCAGCCCATCTCATGGTCTTGAATGATGAGTTCTGCCAGGCACAGGGACCTTGTACAGAATATTTCCTCCCCAAGCAGGGAGTACCTGGGAAGTGAATCCTGACCTTCTGAAGTCAGAGCAGCTTAAAATTGCTGAGAACCTCATCCTTTGCTTTGAAGGCCTTTTGAGCTTGCCAGTCTCCACTGCTCCCATCATAATTTCATCTAACTCATCTTTCTTGCTCTCCCCAACAGCCGTATTGAGTGGGTCTGGCTGCACTGGAGTGAGTACCTGAAAGCCCAAGATGAGTTTTACGCATGGATTCACAACATGAGGGTGACCTTGGAGCCTGACATTGAGTTGCAGCTTGGCTTAAAGGAGAAGCAGTGGCAGCTGAGCCATGCTCAGGTTCTGCTGAATGATGTCTTAAATCAGTCAGTCCTGCTGGAAAGGCTGCTAGAGGAAGCTGCTTCCTTGTTCAACAGGATAGGTGACCCCAGCGTTGATGAGGATGTTCAGAAGAAAATGAGGGTGGAATATGAAGGAATCAGGGAAGAAGCTCAGGTACACCTATAAAGTATGGGAGGTGTTCAGATTTCACCAATACACAGTATTGTTTGCTATCTGCTTCTCAAGTGATGGGGCTTACCTGGTAGGGCTGCAAAAAGAAACAGAGCTGAGGACCCCTGTTCTTTCAGTCAGTGGCCTGTTCGCAACAGTCATTGTGTCCCAAGATAAGCTGTTAATTGGGATGCTCTCACACTGTACTTTATAGTATGTTGTAAAGTAACTGCAAGCTGCTTGCTATGATCTAGTGAATATTGGTTTAGGTCATCTCTGTATAAAGTTTGAATTGTTCCTCATCTTTCAGTGCATTAGTGATCCTTGTATAACCAGATGCAAAATACCCATTCCCAGAGCCAGGGAATTTTACATGCATGCACCCTTGTTGGAGGATGTAGTGTTGGTCCAGATCCAGAGCTACACTCGCCGCCTGCAGAACTGGGAAACACGGAGGTGGGAGTCAGCTGTGGCCCAACACTGAATTCAACTAGCCAGTTCCAGTATCTGAAAGATTTTCACTGCACACAGATACTAATCCTTGCCTGATGGTAATCTTCCAGCTTGAACAGTTGTTAGATAGGCTGGTGTAAGACATCACTGTGATGATGAACTAGGATTTCCTTTGACCCTATTCCTGGGTGAAGATTTCAGATAAGATTCATACTTTTCACTTTTAAAACTCAGGTAAAGACAGTATTGGTCCATGTGGCATGGCTGAGGGGCAGACATCTGCAGATGGGCAGACTAATTCAGTTTCTTACTAGCCTATATCAATAGAAATACTCAAAGGGATATTTGAAATACATATAGACACATCTATCCCAAGCATATAGAGATTAAAATCTAGTCTTTGTCTCTCAGTGGCTTCCAGGAATTCCATAGGCTGGAATTACCTGGTGCAAATACAAATAATTTTCATTGCATCGGCTCTGCTATCTGCCTCTATCATAATGTTGCCTTCTATTTCTTCCCACACCTATGTCCCAGCCCAGAAGTGGAGCCTGACAGTGATGTATGCTCTCCCGCCCTGGGTGCTGTCATACAAAGTTAACTTCAGATCACACTGGAAGAACAACAACGTTAGGATGCTCATGCCATTGCTCTGCTTGCTCTATAGATACTTTCTCTGTTTTAAAAAAACCCAACACCTGAACCCCAAAACAACAAAAAAACCTCTGAGCTGGCACCTTTTGTGAGCATGAAATTCAGATATTTTTTAGCCATAAAGATAAAACTGCTGCTAATAAGTCTCTCCAAAAACCATAGCATATTTGGAAATTCTGTAATTGCAGCTGCCACAGAGAGACTGTAAAGCCACCAACAGACTTGCGCCTCAGTGTTGATTATTTTTAAAGGTAGATCTCTTCATTACAAGGCAACTGGATTTACGAGTAAGAAGGTTCCTGGGAATTCAGGTGTTGTCTATCTAGATTGCCATTTAAAAGTCTCATTCACTCCCTTCTAACCAAGATCTGTCTTTGGTTTTGAAGCAGGAGACAGTCATTAGCTATTTTAATAAGGCAGTTCTTTCAAACGAGTCATTTGAATACTCAAAGCCAGAATGTGACCTCTCTGAGACTGGTTTTACATAGTGTAATTTCTCTAACTGACTTGAATACATGCTGGTGTAAATGAGATCAGGAAGTGGCTCATAGTACTTAGACAAAATATGTCTTTATGTCTCCAGCCAACTGAGATGCTAGAAAAAGCTTTTCTTTGGCATTGGTTACAAATACCACATTTCATAGAAGGATGGAGTGAGAGAATCCAGCTAAGAAATCCCTCTTTCAGGAGGTATGGAACAAAGAAGGGAGTTGGGAAGCCTTGGATTTTGCAACCGAAGTAAATGCAGAGTTCATTAGCTAATGCCAAGGTTTCAGGCACCTTGGGAATCATGTTGGAAAGTATAACACTAGTTAGAGAAACCCTGCCACCGTTTCCAACAGGAGGGAGGAATGAATGAAAGAGACGCAGGAGTTGTAAGGGGATTGCTCTGGCCCCTCACATGATGAGAGGCCAGGCTAAATGTGACTTGCCAGCTGCATGCCTGAGCTGCCTCCCAAAGGAGGCTCACTGGTGTTTGTAGATCACACTTGTGTTTGAAGAGCATTTTTAGATCCCGTGCAGTTGTCCAGCGCTATCAGAAGGCAAGCTCTTGGACAGTGCTTCTTAAATGGTTTGCCTGTGACATTGCTTCTCTGGTATGAGCAAATGGTGGGTTTTGTTTTTTTTTTTTTTTCTTTCTTAGTGCTAACGTGTCATTATCATTCCCAAATTTTAAAAGCACATAATTTTCTTTTAATTACATTGACAGGGATATTTTTAGATGTGGCAGCCATTTCCTATGTGCTTTCCCTTGTCTAGTAAAATAATAATATGCAGGGGTAGATGATTCTGGGTTTTAGCATAAATGATGACAGAACATGGTAGGAAAAGTTATGATATACAGTATGTTGATATTTAGTCAAATATATCAAATATGCCTGAGCACATCAAATGAATTTCAGTCCATGTTGTCTCTGTTAACTGAAACCTAGATATTTATAATGCTAACCCTCATGTACCCTAGAGCTAAGACTAAAAGCACCAGGAAGGGCTACAGGAGCTTTCTGTACTCTACTTGAGATGCCACGGAGGGATTTCAAGCAGAAACTTCCTTTATGTGCTCTAGATTGCCTTCCAGAGGAGGCTTGTTTGCCTTTGCTGACTGTAAGGGGAGCTTAGGGGAGAGGGTTTCGTATGCCTCTGTCCACCCTCCTTGAGTACCCAGGGCTGGGCTTATCCCGCCCAGACAAGATAAGCAGCCCATGGCAAATCCATTCTTTTCCTGTCGGTGCTCTCACTCTTTCCAGGACCATGTCCTTGCTTAATGTCTCCTTACATTAACCAAGTGCATGTGGAGATGGACTTTAATACTGTCCTGCTCTCCAAACAGCTAACCCTACAGAAGCAAGTGATACCATATTTGCCATCCTTAGAAAGTTTCCCTGCCTAAGCTCTTGGCGGGCAGGGGGGGCTCGGCCAGCTCTTTGTAAGCCTTTTGTTTGACAGTCTGTCCAGACCCATGGCATCTCTTCCTTGACCTCGTGGACCAGCAGGAGTATCCAAACTGTGCACTCCTTTGTTTTGGCTGAATAGCCTGAATAGCTTGGCCAGGGGTGGGTCATTTTGACTTCCTTTTTAACTCTCTATATATTAGCATAAGACTTTTGAGTTTAATAATAGCTCCGCTTTGTTATTCTGACTTGCTCCCTTTGGAGCTTCTGTCAGTGCAACAAATTAGTCTAATTCCGTGGAATCAATAAGCTTGGGCTGACTTGTTTCACTTTGATGTTTGGCCCATTTACATCACTATAAGATTGTATTCTTCAAGTCCCTAACTTGAGGTCAAGGTGAGAATCGTTCAACCTGTATGCATCTCTGCAGATTTGAGAATCAAGGCAAGGGGATTTAGCAAACAAGTGAGGTGTTCTGCTGGGTATGTCTTGGCCACAGAAGTCTGCAGTCATAATTCTGCTTTTTGGTCTCATCCAAACCCATGTTTGCATAGGTGGTGCTATTAAAGGTCCTGCCCTAATAAGTGGGCAGCATTTCATCCTCCATGGGAAGCAGTTGTCCCTTAGCTGTCCCTCTTTTGTCCCAGAGCAAGTCAACTAACTTTAGGGGACTCACTCTTGATTTGCACAAGTCAGCAGAGATTGCAGTGGCAGTATGGAAAACACAGACTGGTGTGATGCCACCTGGAGAGCGGTGGCTTTGTACTGCACCGTGGGCATAACCTGTCCCAAAGGTGAAGGGCAAAGTCCCAGAGGGACCACCACCCCACAGCACATGGGAGATCCCATGGTGACTGATGCTCATGCTACCCTTCTGCTGGTCTGGCTGGAGAAAGGCTGACAGGACAGCGATGGCTCACTGCCACCTCAGGCAGGTTGACGGGTGTGGGGACATGCCCAGAGCCTTACAGAGACAAGGGAAACGCAGGGGGGACTTTGAAACTGCCCACCACTGCAGCTATCACCCTACTCTCTGTGGAGGGCAGCTGGGATGAAGCTCTGCTCAGAGGCACGGGATGTGTCCCATATTACACAAAATGAAACTCAGCCCATTGTCTGTGACAGGAAAGCCTTTCAAGGGTGCTGCAAGCACTAAACGGATTGCACAAGGAACAATTTTTTTTCTAATGTAACCACAGTGTATCTCAGTTGCTCTCTATGCTAACTGGTGAAGGGCAAGAAAAAATCAGTCTGATTTTGCAGGAAATAATACTTAGGTTGGATATTATACTAGTGAAACAACAGAGCAGGATTCCTCGTGATTTGTGTAAAATTTCCTTCAGCAAGGCCTAAACTTCAGCTGACAAACAAGGATAGTCAGAGCAAATGTGACTCTGCCTTGTTTTGAGGGGTGCCAGACTGGATCAGCGGGGAGCAACTCATGATGTGCAGGCCCCTGTAGGTTCAGGGATTGTCAGTTATAGGGTGCACACACAGTAACTCAGAAAATGAAGCCTGCTTCCCATAGGCTTAAATTTGCTTCCAGGGTCTGCAATACCACCACAGGATAATTTGTGATCTGCTAATTGAATAAGTATGAATGTTCCTGGGCTACATGATTGAAGGTGATAGTCACTTTCCATACAGCCTGCTTAAATAATGAACACTTTAAAACAATTTGCATGCCCCTAGCACAGTCTCTTTCATTCTCATTTTGGCAGATGGGCAAAGTCAATCATCTGTTGTGTGCTCATCTTTATTTTTAACCAGCATGAGGAGCATAACTGCTTGTCTCCCAAAGTCAAAACCAGAAACAGTATCCTGTCTCTTTTCTTTTTCTAATGAGAGAATAGGAAGTTTTGGAAAGGGGAGGCTAGAAACTCACCTGAGAGGACCTTGCAGTTTGTCTCCTCAGAGATTAGCCACTGAGAGCCTGCAGCATGACCGAGATGGGGACAAGCGCTTATGTCCTTTTGTGTCCTGTTTCTTGAGGTGAACTATGCATTCCTGTGGAGGCCAGCTGCTATCGGGGCTCGCGGAAAGGGACTCTTGTTTATAAATACTGGGTTAGTGTAAAGGAAAAAGAGCCAAATAAGCACTGTCCTCATGGCTTCTGATGTCTCTTTGTTACAGAGCAGAGTGAAACTGCTTGAAAAGATAACCAAGGAACATGAGCGGTACAGCGCTAACGTCAACCAGTTTCAATCGTGGCTGAATGATGTGACAGAAAGATTAAACTGCTGCATTGGAGAAGCAACCAAGTCTTCAGCAGAGGACAAGTTAAAGGCACTGAAGGTCCTTAAACAATATAATTCTGACAAGGAGCCAGGATTGTGTGTTCTGCATGCCTATATATGTTTCTCAAACCATGCAAGGGTGTACTTGAGAAAAGACTTGCACAAACAAAATACAGTGGTGATTGTAACATGGGCTAGGGAGAAGAGTTGTATCAGGTCCTAAAACTGTTAGTAAACATCATTCTCCCAATTGTAGCATGAGTCACAGGCTGGTCTCCTGTGTTTTTCTTAAAGCCTGATCTCCTATGGTTATGTGAGTCTTTGAGAATCTTGCCCTTTAAACTTGTTTAAATGAATGGTATTCGGTAAACATGATCCAAACAGAGCCTGGAGGCTCACAGGTTTTGAGAGTTTAGAGCTGGTGATAAAAATAATAGTTTTGAGAACAGTATCCAGTATTTTGGTGTCACTGCTTAAACTGTTCAGCTTTAAATCTCTCAGAGATCTGATTATTAGTATTTCTTACTGCCTACAGCTTCTGTTTTCTTTGTCAGGAATCTCAGGTGACAAGCATTTCTGAAAATCAAGCCAATATTTTCAGAATCGTGGCAGTTAGCATTACTCAGAAGGCAGTCAAATGACCAACCCTGGCTTCTGGTCACTTGAAAAAAGACCTACTTTGAAATAAGAAGTGAAAAAGAAAATAGGTATAACCAGGAGAGGTGGTCTTATTTTCCTCCTGCTTTCACCTTTTCCCCAACTTCCCATTCCTTCAGCTAATCTTTATTTAACTTCTTTCTGCAGGAAATTGCCAAAAACATTAGGAGCGGTGGAAAGAAATGGAAGCACCTTGAAAATCAGTGTGCAGAGGTGATTCAGAATACCTCCCCACTCGGAGCTGAGAGAATCAAGGATGAACTCGAAGAGCTAGGAAAAGCCTTGGAGAAGTTGAAACTGCTGAGTAGTGAGGAGGAGGAGAGATTGCTCAAGATCCAACAGTCAGAACGTGCCTACAAGTCCCAAGCCAGACAATTAGAAGCAGATGTCCAGGAGCTGAAAAAAGACCTACAGAGACTAGAAAATGACCTGGACCCTGGGGAAGGGGAAAAGACTGAAGATGAGTTTGTAACTCTGTGGAGAAAATGCAATGTGAGTTGTTACCCTTTGTATGCCTAAAACCAGCAGTCATACATTGAATATGCATAGTCACATCGAACAGGTGCCAGTCCCATTGGTTAAAGGTGGTAAGGAAAGAGTGTGATTGTGTATAAAACAGACTGAGGAAATGTGAATAGCAACAATGGAATCAACTATTCTAACCTTTATCTCACTCTGCACAGAGGGAGCAGGGTTGGAGGATGTGTTGGGGTTTGTATCTTGAGTTCAAAGGGACCATATGCAAGAAGAGCACGATACAGAGCAAACACCACAATTTGCTCTACTTAAAAAGAAGCAGGAAAAATAATGCCTCACTGTATATACAAATACATACATACACACACACCCCACCCCCCAAATACACATATTTCTGGGGTATTTGGTAAGACCATTTCTATATTAGATCCTTCATCTGTGTAAGGTGGGTACCTGTATTCCTTTACCATCAGACACACCTTCATTCCTAAGAAGTCCCAAGTCTGTAGTAATCCAGGATTTACACCAAAATCAATCTGTTGCAAAAATGAGTGCAAAAGGTTTGTCACGCACAAAGTAGATAAGAATCTTTACCACTCATTTCCTCTTGAGGGTTGGTTTTGCATTTATTATCTCTTCTCAAAATACCTTTCATTGCTATTTGTATGTCTGGAACTCAGCAGGACTAGCTGGGAAAAGTATATGCAGAAAGGATCCACAAAATACAGACTGGTTCAATCCAGCTACGTTTGCATGGCTTTTTTATTGTTTTTGTTTGCCTACGTCACCCTAGAATTAACATTCTGTATATATGAGTGTTTGAGAAAGATCTGTTCATGCAAACAGACATGGTTAAGACTGCTCCAAAAAATGCATCTCATGTTATATACTGCAATCAGTGAACTGAAACTGGGCCTGTTTGTAATTCTCTGTTCAAACAGTGAACCCTGCAGATGAGATGCAGAGGCTGGGCAGTGTGAGGAGAGGAGAGAGAGCCTGCAGGAACAAAACTGTTCTGAGAATGTTTTCTGCCTTAGTAAAGTCCATATTCATGACAACAGGAAAAAAGGCAGCGGAAAGGGGACTTGTGAATAGCCTGAGAGACAGCCTTATCTCTTCATTTCATGTGCCAGACACTACATGAGGTGTGATCTGTTCATTATTTTTATGATTAAGGCAACGAGAGCAGCTCTGGCTGCAGAAGAGTCCAAGGTTGAGAGGCTGAAGGCTCAGCTTAAGGAACTGCTACGGTTTTCCCAAGATGTGCAGCCACATGCTGAGAGTGTTGTCTCTGCAATACAGCAGTATCAAAGGTAGTGGGAAGTCTGATTATGCTGGGGTGGGTGGGTGGAATCTTCTCTCAGACATTGAAGGGATTGACAAAGGCCTAAGAAAAAAGTGATATGCCATCCAATTGTAGGTGACGGGTAGAAAAGAAAGGCTTTTGCTAATTACATCTGCCTCCACATTTCAGCAATTGGCTAAATTTACAGGTTTACTAGGAGCTGTAGGCTGCTGGCCATTTTCAAGCAGTGATCTTGCATCATTAATGTTGTGTATGGTTTGAAGAAAATTAGATTGTTGGCAGCTAATTTGATCTTCTTAGCATTTAATAATAATAATTTATATATTTTGCTTGCCTGTCATGACAGCAACTAGAAAATCAGGACAGGAGCTGTAGTAGTAAACGGTTCAGAAGTATTATGGCCCTCTCTTGTTGAGTTTGTTGTGATGACTCATCAGCCTTAGCAATTATTTGGCAGAGTTTATTCCCCTTCTCCTGGCGGCATACATGCATGATTCCTGTTTTCAACTTGCCTTGGGTTGGAAACTCTGAAAGTTTAGCCTCTCCCCAGACTTCAGCGTTTCCGTTTCCAGGCTGCCTGGAATCAGGAAGTAAAGAAGCTGCAGCAAATTTTGCAAACTAGAAGAAAGGAGCATTTTTTTAAGGAGAAATAAAGGTCAGTTTTTTTACTGTATCCAAGCTTATTTTCCTCTGTCCAGTGCACAGTATGCTGTCCTGTTGGAAGGGTTGTAGGTCATTATGGGAAAGAATTTCAGTTTAAAAACTAACAAGTAAACGATGTCGAAAGAGGAGCAGAGAAGGCAGGAGAACTTGCCTCTGAGTAGAAAATGGCAGCTGCGCTTTTGCCAGCTTCTCTCCAAAGCGTCTTTGCGAAGTCTGGCAGCTTCATGCTGAGCCTGGCAGGGGCAGCAGAGCAAATGGCAAAGGACATGTAATATCAGAACTTTCTATTTGCGGAGCTTTTGGCCTATGCAAGCTTGCCTTTGTTTAGCTCCGTAACGTCCCAGTGACACAGGTAAGGTTATTGTTTCTGTTTCTGAAAGGCAGTATTAATCTTGATTGGCATTGCTGTTGCTTGCTGGTCTTGTGAATTTGCAGGATACTGTTCCCATATGAACATACAGTTTGGGATGCATTCTGCCATATCAAATAGGATTCTGCAAACTGGGAGGTCAGGAAAGCTGAGAAAAACAGGAGGCAGCTGTGTGGGGTGTGTCACTGCTGCTTGTTACTCAGCTGTATTTTGGATAAGCCTTTATAAGAGAAGACTGGATATTTAATGAATGTGTGATGCGTGTGTCAGCAGTTTTCCTAACATCTGGCCAAACTGTTCATTTGCTACTGTGCATTGGTCATTTCTTTCCTGTTATGGAATAATTTTCTTCCTTTGTTTGTCATTGTTTTATATGTGTTGTGAGGTTTGGCTGAAATTAAAAAAATAGCCTGCTGATTTGCCATAATAATCCTATTTTCATAAAAGACCTAACTAGGAAAAGATGAGAAGACTTACTTTCTCAGAAGAGGTTAAAGATAAGAGTAAAAGTTATTGGGAGGATCTTCACTTCCTTAAGATACTGGTTTATATATATATACACATACACACACACACATATAGCTGTGCGTGTGTGTGTATACATATGTATAATATAAAGCTTTTATCAGAATCACCTATATGTAAAATACAAGTGGTTCTGCAAAATTTTTAAAATTTATATCTGAAAAAAAATACGTATTTTCCTCTTTTTATAGGTAACATAGGGTGATCAAAGATTTCTTAATGTAATTTTTTAAAGGAACAAAGACTCAGTAATATGTAAAACAATAGAGGCAACTGCAGTTAAATTCTAGACACTCTTGGCTTGTTCCTCTCATCAGTCAGTGATACCATCCAATAATACGATTTGTTAAATCATGCTGCTGATAACAGCCGAGAGAGATCACATACAAAAGAAGACTGCTGGCTGCTAGAAAGGCAAAATAATTCCTGATACACAGTTGCATAAGAGACAAATGTGTCTTACGGTGTCTAAATAAAGTTTTGTCGGATGTCTCTGACTTACAGAGCAGCTGTCAATACACAACGCCAGGCTCAGACAGTAAAAAAGACTGAGGCTTTTGTGTTGGATACAGTTTGCACACGAGTATTGTGTTAATTCATGCCTTGATGAATAGGATGTTTGGACTTGGATTTCTTCGTAATCCTTCTCTCAGCTGTCACTTTATCCTTGCAGTGTTAGAGGCAAGACATCTAAAATGAGCACTGATACAGAAACCCAACTGAGAAGACTCTTCCAAAATCCTCTGCAAGATTTTGAACAGTGGAAGCCATCGGTCCAGATGCTCCTGGAGACTCCGGAGCCAGCTCTGGCTCACATTGAGGTAGCAAACCTGTTACTAAGTTCAGAAACTGATGATTTGGTTTGTGTTTGCCCAAGCTATGCCAGCAGCTGCCTGCATACAGCTGCCAGACAGCAGCAGCTGGAAGGGCCTTTCCAGTATGGCAGGAAGCCCCACAGTACGAAGGTCAATATTTAGCTGTAGCTGTAGCAGAATGTCTTACTTTCTGCCGTCCATTTGGAGTTGCCAACTGAATAGGCTGAATTAAAGTGCTAGATATCTTTAACAATGATGATAATATTGTTTAGCATTAGCCCAGATCTCCCTGGACAGGAAGTCTGTGGACTCTTAAGAAGCGCGTAGTAATATAGTCGTGGGATTATAATGCATGATTTCTGCATGTGCCCAGGAAGGTGTGTTTGTTACTTTGTCATCCCTGTGCTCTCCAGAATAAACGCGTCTGTGAACAGGGATGGAGTTTATCCTCAGGATGAGCATTCAAGCTGTCCTTTCTGTTGGTTGTTTAGGCCTCTCCTCTGCACAGACAACTCTTTCCATAGTACAGCTTTCCTCTATTTCTGTTCACAAAACGGATGCAGCCCTGGTGCTTCTAACATTATCAGGAAGACTTTTCCTTTAACTGGGCACTGTCCAGGTACCTTCTGTTACCCCTTGTCGGACTAGCATGCTGTTTTGACCTGACTTTGTCATACTGCTTTGGTTTTGTGACTTGTGTGAGAATAACATGGTTATATGATTTTTTTTTTTTTTGTATGATTTCACTGCAAGAATTTTTCTCCTTTAGGCTGCTCTAGCTGAAAGCTCCCAGTTCAAAGAGAAGTTGATGACATTACAGCTGAAGAAAGATTTACTAAACAATATCCTTGGTGAGGAAAAAGCAAAGTCTTTCCTGCAAGAAGTAGCTGAAGCTTCAAAGGAGAGAGAAATTCTACACAAGAGTCTGCTGCAAAGCAAGAGCAAACTCCAGGTGAGCTTAAAAGCCCATATACAGTCCTTGCCTGTGACAAAGACGATCAATCTTTTACTAAGCCAGTTGTACAGGTACAAATTTAGTAGTAACCAGCTGTGCCCAATCCCTTTTTCTAGGTTGATCAAATATTCAAATAAATTTGTGGTCTGTTGCATAGTGTAGCTTGGTGTTTGTTCTGAGCATGCAATGGACGTTGACAAAAGATAATGCTAAGGGATATATGTTGAATGCTGGATTTTTTTCCTTCTTTCTCCATCTAGAATTTGATATCGCAACATGAGGACTTTGATGCTGGTTTCACACCTTTGCAGAAGAAACTATCTGCCATCAAAGCCAAATTAGATCTAGAGAAGGAACCACGGCCTGACCTCTTGGGTAAAAAGACACAACTCCAGAGACTCCAGGTACATTACAGTAATGTTTGACCGTGATATCCTCAGTTAATTGTGGTCCTGTTTGTTCATATTTTATTAGCATTAGGAATTCAGTACCTTGTCCCCTCAATTGATTGTGTGTTAGATAATTTCATTTGGTCCAGTTTATAACATGGAGTAGATGAAATTGAAGCAGTGCAGCTGAAGAACTGGCAAACTGGGCTTGAAGGAAGGAACAAGCAGCTGAAAGCTCTTGGTGCCACACCTCCTTGGGCTAGTTTTATTGCTAAAGAAAATGTATCCTGATACTTCCCACTAGGAGTGAAACTGTAAAAGATAACCTGAACCAATCTAACTCCCTCCAAAAGCACGGAGTTCCCATTGTCCCACCTCCTTCTGCATCCCCCCCTTCCTGCTCTTTACCTTGTCACAGCTTTGACACGTGCTGGATTTACTCCATGGGCTAATTCAGCTGGCCAAGATAAGAAAAAAATAATCAACAGAAAAAGATGATAATTTTCCACTTGGTTAGTGTTTTGAAGTGGTTCAGCAAAGGGTCCAACATGCAGTAGAGCCTGCTCAAGGCATGCAGTGGGACTACATAGCTGGGAGAGGAGAGAGAGGAGCAGGAGGGAAAGAGAGAGGGGGTGTGACTCTTCCTTTTTGCCATGGTGAGCTACGGTGATTCAGCTATACGGTGCCACTTCACCCTTGGTGACCACAGGGATGTTACCACCATAGTTCTTTGCAGTACTTAGCTAATTATACTGTGTCTCCTCTGGCAGCTTCTCAGCAACTTGTCTTCTTTGTGATCAACTGGTAACATGTAAGAACGTCCAACCATTTCTTTCAGAAACATTTACTTCTAGACATCAAAAAAATTAATTTTCTTAATGACAGTGATTGTTACCTTTCTCCGCCCCCCGCACCTGTCAAATGAAACTACTTTTAGTGTATGTTTTGTGGATGTCCATGCCACATCTAGCACATTACCCGTATGGAACCTGTCTTTTCCTCTGCAGATGATCCAAGATGACTTGGCAGAGCTTGCAATTCAAATGGAAGAGATAGAGAAGCTTGTTCAGTCAAATACCACACACAGGCATGAAATGAACCAACTTTCATCTGACTCTCAGGCCCTGAAGAGATCATTGGAGGTAACGTAAGGAAGAGTTTTTAGTTGCCTGAGGAATTGTCAGTTGCCATTATTTAAAAATATAAAAAAAAAAATCATTGAGCATATGAGATTATAAGCTTTGAGTGACAGATATTTTCATTTCAGGGGAAGAAGGCACTGAATTCTTATGACTTTGATAGCTCTTCCAGGATTCTCTGATTATCTGTAATGTGATTTCCCTTTGGGATAGGATACCATCCACACAGATTTTATATCTATATAAATTATTTCTGGAGTGAGACTGAGATTTCTGACCAAAAGACCTCATAATTACATTATCATGGAGGTGCCTGGACTTCTTCACAGATTCCTGGATACTGTTTTTGTATCAAACTGTTTGGGTTTTTTTATAGTTTTGTGACCTAAAAGTTAATGAGAGGAAAGTGTTGCAATTGCATAATTACTTGTTTTGACCTGAGGCATTTTGTAACTTGTAAACATAGCTATAAAAGGACCTTCCAAAGCAGTCTCAGAAGAAGAGCTTATAAAATTACCTTAGTTATGCAGGTCACCATAAAAATACTTAAGATAAAGTGTTACCCTAATATGCACTGTGGAATTCTAGTTTCAGTCTCAATAATCCCATTTATCGCTGAACTGGACTTTTTCAAAAAAAGTCTGTGCAGTGATTTCTGATTCAGGAAGTATAAGGTGTGTTTAATATTGACTGGGGTATAAAAAAATCCCCCATATTCTTTATTCTGTTTCAGCTGAAATGGAAGGGAGCTATTCTAGTGCTTAATGCCCCCTCTTGTGGTTAAATTTAGGCCTGCAGGAGCTTGTAGGTGTTTTCTGTGCCACTGATGCTAAAGGATAAAGTTTTTTGTGTCTCATTAACAGCTGTTTTTTTTCCTTTTTGCCTATGAGATTCTGTGCCAGTAGTCACAGTGTTAGATCCAGTAATGAAACTGCTTTTTGTCTGTGTTTAGTTGCTGACTTATTTTTATCATTTGTAGATGATGATACAGCAGAGTGAAGAGCACGTTCAGAAGCATTGGGCATATAATGACAAACTCTCTGACCTCCAGCAGTGGATCACAGTAACCACAGAGAAGATTGACTCCTACCAGGGTGCTGATGGAGAGCAGAACACCGAGGGCAGGGTGGCAGACCTTGAGGTGAGAAAAGCATTTTAGTGTAAGATGTTAATTATTCACTTTGCAGCATTCAGACATGAAGGGCGAGGGGTTTCTAGTGGGGGTTTCCTCACTAGAGAGTAATGTTGGTTGAGGAGAGTAATGGTGGTTTTTTCCTCCTGCAATAACTGTTGGTTGCTGCTGCCTCCCTGCTTTGCCCTGTGCTGTGGCATGTGGAGCTAGGTAAAAGACAAGAGCAGTGAGAAATAGCTAAGAACTGTTGAGATGGATGAAGTGTTATCAAAGGATAGGTGGTTTGAAAAAGAGCTCTTCCTGCCAGGGTGATCTCTCTGGACAATACCTACTTTTGCCTGTATGTACTCATCGATACATTGAACATTATTACCCTGTTAGCTAACCTTATACTGTGTTGAACTGAGCTGTTCCACAGCTGCTAGCTTTTCCCTGTGTAGCAGTATTTTGCATGCTAGATTCACTCTGGCAGGTTACTTCAGCTGGCAGCTTTTGCCATCGTACGGAAAACCAAGATATTTCATGGTAAGGCTACAGAAGGGGTGCATTGACAACTTTAAGTTTTGCCATCAGGTCTTTGACCTATGTTGGTTCTTTGCAAGAATCCACAGCATATTTTTTTTCCTGCTAGGTATGTTCTAGCTAGTGCCAACAGAACCAGCATAGTCCTGGACTGAACATGGCCTTCAGTCTGACATAGCCTCTGCTTTACCCAGGATACCTAGAAGTAACTGTAATGGCTGTACGTTTCAGAGATGGCTAGCTGAGTTTCCAGATAAGGAGATCCAGCTGCACCTTGTGGAAGCTCATGGCCAGCTGGTCATGGAGAATTCTTCCCCAGAGGAGACTACCCATGTCCAGGCAGAGCTGGATCAGCTGAAGGAGTCGTGGAGATCACTGAAGGAGATGGCAACTGGGTAAGTGTTCATGTGCGTCTTCCTCATGTCCCTTCAAGGGAATGCTCTTTACTGCTACGTGACCAGACGCTTGATGCTTTATGGTCTGTGCTGTGAAAGTGAACAGCTATGTTACAATGTTAGGAGCAAGATGAGATTTTATTTAATCGTTTGTAAACTGGAAATCATTACTTTCAAGAAAACCATTTTAGAGAATCCAGGGACCAGAGCAGTCTGCCTTTACCTCACACTTGGAGTAGGCAGTGTCTCCTTAGGACCTGGCTCACCCTTGTACTGCCAGTCCATATCAGAGGAAATAGGACATAGACTGGGTGACTTCTGCTGTTCTGCCTCACCTTCCTGTTCTCCTCGCTGTCTGATCTGGAGGTATCCCCAAGGAGGCTATATCTGCACTGGGATTTGTGCCTTTTGCAAACCTGCAAGAGTATAAACAAAGCTAAAATCCTCTCTTAGCTGGCAAATGTGGACTTAATTTATTTTGCCCTCACTGTGCAGTGTCAAACTGCTACTCATATTTGCTAGTCTGTATTAAAATTTAATACTGTGCTACACGTGTGAGTATATTCATACATAGTGTCAGAACAGGCATAAAAATGGAATGACTAAATCGAGGAAGGCTTGATTGTACTGTCTGCTGTTACCAGACTGGAAGGTATATACCTTCAAGGTAGTAGGTTTTTTTTTTGCTCCTTCACTCCACTGAGTAAAAGAAAACAAAACACTTGGAAATGTTAGAACTAGAGGACTGGTGCTGCTTTGAGACACTCCTGTCTTGATCTTATTTTGTTAAAAAGATGTTGGAAATAACTTTAATAGTAATAGTACTGTTAGTAGTAATAATAGTATAATAATAATAGTGCTATTTCACCAGAGGTGTCCCCCATAGCCCCGGTCAAAATGTGGATGTCTCATCATTAGATGTTTCACTGCACTGATGTCTCTGGTTTTGTGTTTTCAAGTCTTCTCAAAAAGTGGCAGTTAAATAGACCGGTGGCTGATAAGAAGAAAATAGTATTTGTGGACAGCAGATGGATGTCTGGACCTGCCTTCCATCCTTTAGATGTAGACCCCAATCATAAGCAGGTGAGAGGGGGACTCTGTATCTGCCTTCATATCAGTTTCACAAGAACAATTTTATTGGCTTCATCTGATATTATGGGTTACAAAGTTGGAGATTAAGATCTTGCAGTCGGGCCTTCAGAAGAAACATCTGACATAACAGTAAGGGCTTTTTTGTTCCTGTTGTTCTGTAACCTAGGAGAGGATAGAAGGGCAAAATACGAGCAGCCACTTGAAGCTCCTACGCGACTTTGAAGAGTGGTTACAAGGTGAAAACACCAAACTGACAAAAATTCTTGCTGTGACTTCATCTTCCACAGAGGAAATTAAGGCACGACAGAGCAAACTGGAGGTTAGTTTTCAGGGGATGAAGATGGAGACAAAGATTGCAATAAGTGCAAATTCTTTCAGAATTAAAAAAAATCAAAAACCAACCCACACACCCCCAACCAACAAAAAAACGCCCCTCAAAACAAAAAACAAAAAAAACCTCCAAAACAAAAAAAAGGAGCAAACTGGAGGTTAGTTTTCAGGGGATGAAGATGGAGACAAAGATTGCAATAAGTGCAAATTCTTTCAGAATTAAAAAAAATCAAAAACCAACCCACACACCCCCAACCAACAAAAAAACGCCCCTCAAAACAAACAAACAAAAAAACCTCCAAAACAAAAAAAACCCCTTAAACACTACACTCTGCTTTAGGAGACTCTAGAGTAGATGAAACTCGGGAATTTAGGACAAGTATTTCACCCCTTCTACTGAGAAAAGTCTGCCAGAGCCAGAGTGGTAGAAGGGAAGGGAGCAGCCTGGCATCTAGCTGTTGGACAGGACATTTCCAGTGTGGTATGGCAAAGGTGTTCATTAAAAGAAGCTGATTAAAATTAGTGTCTGGTATTTGACCTCACTCTTTCCCTTTCTCTTGAGTATAGCCAGATGCAATGACAATGGATGCTGTAAGAAATTAGACAAACAGAAATACCCAAGGCTACAGGAGTCTTGCAGATGAGTGGACCTTTTTATATCATTTCAGGCCAAAAAAGCAATAACAAAAATGCACTATTCCAAACCACTGTTCTTTTGAATGCTACATTTAAAAAGTGGGGCCTTCTTGAATTCTGAGTTGCTGCTGACCTTGTCTTTGCCTGCAGGAGCTGCAGTCTTGTGTGCCTGATGGTCAGCGTCTCTTTGAGGACCTCCTTCATCTTCATCCTGTCACTGGAAACTCTGAAGATCTGGAGGACCTGCGTTACCGATGGATGCTCTACAAATCTAAACTGAAAGAGTCCATGAGTTCACTGGTAGGTGACAGCACTCAATTCACAGTTGCTGATCTAAGCCATTGCTCTTTTAGGTTGCTTCACGTTGCTAGTCATAATTCAACAGTACGTGTGTGTGTCTGCTTAATTAAAACCTCCCTTAGTAAATGCCATCACAGACAGAACAAACATAGCCATGTATTTATAAATATAAGCACAAATATTCCTGTATTAAAATAAGAGTTGTGCACTATCTTTTTCCCTTTGTAAGCAATGCTCAGAATATTTCTCAAAATGGAAGGTTCAAAGCAGAACGACAATTGGCTGTTTTCAAAGATGCACGCAGTTGGGGACTGTGAGATGTTTATGTGTGTGAATATTTTGGGTATACACCTAGTTCTGGACACATGGATTTCTAGCTTTTTGTCCTTTCTCCACGCAACATTCTCCACTGAATTATTTTTTTAACAGTTCCTGCAGTAAGGATATATTATTTATATATATAATTTTGAGAATGAAATAAAGAGGAGGTATTTTAATGCAAGAAGCAAATGATTAAAGAAGTTATTGAGTTGTTATATAAGACATGCTAAAAGGACCTAGTCCTTTTTGAAACTATCTTTACAGGCTAAGGATTTGGAATGAAATAAAGAGGAGGTATTTTAATGCAAGAAGCAAATGATTAAAGAAGTTATTGAGTTGTTATATATAAGACATGCTAAGAATGGCAGAATTCACCCCCATATATGAGATATTCCAGGGCATGCTAAAGATATTCCCATGCTCTTAGTGTAAACGTACATAACTATTAATTTTTTTCTAGCTTAACTACTTACATTATGTGCTCAACTTCAACATACCTTAATCGGAGGATTAGACTTTACAGGTGTGCATTTGGTACTTTCTGTATGCAAGTGCTTTGGAAGGTACCTGAACTCAAACACCTAAAATTTGAGGCACCTCAAAATTTTCTGCTTTGGGAAATCTTGTCTTCAAATCCAAATCCAAAACTTCCTTAGAATACAAATCCTTTAAAGTGCATGGAAGGTAAGCATGACCTCTATTAATAAAGAGCATATTTCTAAGAATTGTTTGCCATTGATTGTAATGAGTTATGCTTTGTTGACCAAAACCTTGTGTAAGCATAAATATAGTCAATAGGTGTCAGTAAAGTCAAAGCTATTGCTGGGAGAACTGCTCATCTGATTCAAATGGTCAAGAACCTGAAAACATTTCAGCTTTCTGCCTAATGTGTGTTAAAAAGCTCATTAAAAAAATCTCCTGCTGGTTCAGTCTATCCAGGTGATGATGAATTTGAAAGAAACATCCCCTGTGAGGTGAATATTCATTTATAAGCTCCGCTGGCATCTTAAGTTCATGCTTCTTTTTTCTTTTTCTTTTCTTTCTTTTTTTTTTTTTCCCCTTTTAAACAGAGTCCTGGATCTTCAGTAGAAACAGACAGATTCAGAAAGGTATGACAGTTTCCCATCAATAAGCTAAAAAATGTTTGATCAGACATCTTGCAGATAATTATTTTAAATTATTTTTTTCTAAAGGTTCTTGAGATTAATTTGGTTATTAAGAGCCTCTCAAAAAAGAAGTTTATTTTCTCCAGATTTTAAAAGGAAAAATACTACAGAGTTTTTACTCTTGAGCTGTACTTACTGTATCTCTAGAAGGTATATATCCATCTCCTGGGAGAGTGGTGCAGCTCACATTTTTTACATCTACATGCTATCTGAACTTAATTCATTTTTCAAAAGAGAGTAAGGAAGAGCTCTCTCCAAAGGTTTTAGGGGCCAAGTGCCTAAAATAATTTTGAAAATAGGACTTCTAATTCTTTAGACACTTCTGAAAAAATTGCTTTGGATCATTCAGCCCACCTTTTTTCTAATGCAGAAAAACAGAGAAAGTCAAGAGATTTGTCTAATGTTATTAGACTAATCCTTATTCTAAGCAGCAGAATTCCTCCTGTGAAGGATTTTCTTTTGGAAGTGATGACATAAGAAACAGAAGCAGTACAGGAGACGATAAGGAGAAGCTTAAAGAAAACAAAATGCTGCCAGTTTCTTATTAAACCCAAGAAGCATTTCTGATCCCGTTTTCATAAAGTCAGCAAGTTTTTCTGTTGACCTGAGCAGTGTTGAACTGAGTCTTCTCCCTCTGTCACAATTTGCCTTTGTTTATAGGCACTGTTAGCTTCTACTTTGTACTGTCATCTCACTTTCCCTTTGTTTTCAGAAGGAATAGAATAAGGCTTTATTTGCCCAACATGAAGTAGATTGGATGAATAACGTGTTGCAGGAACATAATCACATAATCATCTTAAGCTAAATCAAACCCTTGATTTCTCCTGTTGCAAAATCTCTTTAGAAGAGACCAATATTTAAAGGGTACAGTACAGTGCACTTATAGTATGGCCAGAAATCAAGACTTCCTTATTCAGATGAGATATTCCTCTGGTACTTAAATGTGGAATAGCATCTCCAATATTTTTCCCCAGTGAAATACTGACCAATTTAAGGTAGTTTTCACACATCCCCTGAATAGTTTTGGCCACAGTTCAGCCTTCCTGAAAACCCCCAAAGAGTTTGTGTTCTTGCCTGTCTGGCTCAGCATTAATTGTTCGGTAGTGTTGGTCCTACAGTAAGGTCACCAGAATTTTTCGGGCTGGAAAAACAATGTGACATTGTAATACTTGGTGTAGAGGCAGCCAAACATTTAGTAGTGTTGCTTTTCCCTAGAAGAGGCCTAAAGGGATAGTCCAGAAGACCGACCAAGGAATCCTCTGCTTTTATATGATTTTGTTGGGTCAAGTTGTTTGTAGGGGAAAACAAAACAAAAGCTTTAGGCATAAGCACATCTCCACTTGTGCAATTAGATATCATTTTTTAATTAATCTGTCCCACCTGCCTCGGGGTAGGTGGTATTTATTCCTCCTTAACTTCTCTGAAGGATACTAAAGTCTTCAGTTAATTTTCAAGGATACTGGAATAACATAGTGGCAGGCAGCAAACGTTTGTCAATTAGGCCTAGGGCAAGAGCACAAAAAAAGCATTCTGTGAGTTTTTAATAGCTATTGAACACAAACAAATGGGAAGGAACGAGGAACTGAAATACCTCATAAGCATGAAGGAAATGGCTCCCATTGCGCCAACAAGTGATTTGCAGTTTCCCTCCAGCCAGTACAAATGTTGCAGTAACTTACACCTTGCTCACTTCAGTGTGATTTTGCTGACTTCAGGGCATTCATCCTGGATTTAAACAGTGTCACTACAATGAGAATCCAAGTGCTGTAAGCAGATGTGTCTTTTTCATTCAGGCTTTTATCAGGATGTGAGCCTGTGTTGCCATAAGATTGTTGAGCATCACTTAAGAGAACCAGAAAATAATGTTGATCTCTTTTGGGTGCATCGCTGTTTAGGCTGAGAAAATAGGAAAAGCAAACCAACTGCAGAATTTGTGGCTTTGCAGGTTATTTTAAACTCAGATTTAACACCTAAAGTGTGGCTAGAAATGAAAGAAAGATTAGGCAAAATGTTTTTGTATGTTTTGAATATCCTTTCAAAACCATGGTGAAGGAAAACAACTACCCTGAAAGAATGGCTGATCTCAGGAGTTAATATCTGCAGAAAGTACGCATGGTTGGGGCCTGCATCACTGTACTTGCAACATCCAGTGAGTTTGCATGCAGCGGGATTGGGTTATCTCTAATTTGTCAGCTCCCTCATGCTTTTGGGTCACACAAAATCAGCAGAGGTGGCAGAATTTCAGGTATTTTTGGATTCTCTGCTTTCTGCAACATGAGCTCCCCAGTGACTCTGCTTGTCTCTCCTCTTTGAACTGTGAATATTTTGCAGCAGCAGATCAACCTGGAGAAGTGGAAGACCCAGCTGTGGCCAGTCTCATTTCATTGCCTTCTGTTTTTATTCCATTTCTAGACTGCATGGCCAAATGTTAGGCAGAATAGAGCCTGCTCCATGTATATTAATGTGCTTTTTTTCTGATCATTCATCCTTTGCTGAGGACGTGCCCCTAGCCACTGGTGCCCTTAGGAACAGTACAGGCTAATGATTGCGATGTTGAGCGACTTCTTGTTGATTAACAAAAAACAGTTGCAGGAAATTGCACTGGCTGCGGACAATTTTTAGCAGGTGCCAGTGACAGGGCAATGTAGATGGATATTTCTGCAGGGCACCTAGCACACCCAAGGACATAATCAAGCAAATGCTCAAGAATACCTATGATAAATGTTACTTTTGAACGTTTGCTCCCAGCTACCTGAAAATATTCCATGAGCATTTTTAGCATAAATAGGAAGTCAAAGGCTCATTACTTACAGGTCTAGGTAGCACTGTTTGATTTATTTTCTCGAGTGCTCAAAGTAATTACACTTCCTTGCTAAACAAATGATTCTGGCTTTATTGTTTGTACAAATGAAATAATTAGGATTCATTACATCAGTGATCAGCTAATTGCTTCCTTTGAGATTCTGCTGAGAGTAATCTCCTGTAACACACAGACAGAAGGAACGTGTAATTTAATCTTATTTAGAGACACCATTGATCTGGAGTCAATCAAATTAATGCAGTGATTCAGGAAACTGCAAAGCAAGAGCTGCCACAGCTTGCCAGGAAGAAAACAGTAATGTGCTCTGCTCTGCCCAATTGCAGATATGACAGGAATTCTTCACGGCAGAAAGTCACATTACAGAAATGCACACATCGTGTGTATATGCCTGTGTTAGTGGTGCCTTTCTATTGAAAGTATGTGGCCCATTTGTTTTCCTGAAATCCTGCTGGGTGTTAGCCACTTGAAATCTTCCGTACAATTACATTCTTAGTAAAATGGAGAAGACTCATTAAAAGGTATCTTTCCCTCAGTTTTCAATATCTCTTTTATAGATGGAGAGAAATATCTCTCCATATTTTTTCCACCACTGCGCCTATAAGCCTGTGCCTACCTGCTTTAGGAATTGCACCATGGCCCAAACACAGGAAGAAGGGCATCTTACTATTAAAAATTAGCAGATAGACTTATTTTCCCTCAGCAGTGATGTTTGCTCAGAAAGGAGACTTAGGCAAAAAAATAAAAAGCTGAAAAATCCTGACTGCCTCTTCCTAACTCTGGCCCACTGTTAAGTATGCTGTGCCAGGCAGCATCATCCCCTTCCTTCTCCAGCAGGCCCATGAGCTTCCCTTCATGTTACTGCACCTGTGAGACTGCCTGCCTGTCTGCTCTTATTTTTGTAGGTTTCATGTTGTTCACCAATCTACATTACAGCTTTCCCAGCTAGAAAACAGGGACTCTTTGTTTGTCTTTTATCTGGTTCTGCCACTTCTGTGTCTTGCCAATGCTTCCCCTCTAAAGCAGTGCTGGTGCAAGATGGAGAAGACATCTTGCTTCCCAGGACACCTGGTTCTTTCCTTCTGTTAATGTTAATGTGGTATTAACTAGATATGTGGTTGGTGGCCCCTGCTTTCTTTGTTGAAAAGATGCATCCTTTAGTAGCCTACCATGTTGTGAAGTATTTGCAGATTTTCACCAAGGAGTTACCTTAGAATGATTTTCTCAGCAGATACAATTTTACCTCCTTAATGAGAGGTAACGACAGATTTGTTGACCAATAGCAGAATGAAACCAATTTCCAGTATATACTTGAAAAATGTTTTTAACACTACCATAAAAAGCATGGTAGGAAAATTCTTGTAATCAATACCTCAAAACAAGCCATCACATTTTTAAATTATTTAAATAAAATGCAAATAATATTCAAATTATGTATGGTGACTGCTGAAGTTTAAGAAAAGTTTAATTGTGACTTGAGAGAAGTCACTGCTAAAGCAGCTGGAAACATACATTGTTGACATAATAAACCAGCTTTTGACGTCAGTAGCCTCTTCTACAGGTTCCAGAACATGGTGTCTTTATTTCAGTTTTCATTCTTTCTATGCCCAATTTAATTAGTTTATTTCAAATTGCAAGGCTGAGTGGAAGTTGGAAATTGGGAGAAGTTGTTTTACTTCTCTGCCTTCCTGAATAAACGTAGAACATGGATGTCTTCTACTAAATTTCAGATACGCTGACTGAAAAGTCATCCAGCTACTAGCTGCCGATAACTCTTCTTCTAAAAGTAGTACAGCATTGCTCTTAAGTACAAAATATATTTATCGGGATAAATTGTATTGCTTATGAGTGTATTTAAAACTGGTGGGGTATTCCTGCGTTATTAATTGAATTCAATTAAATTCAATAAGCAGCTCAGCTCCTCACAGCTGCTCCCTCCCTCCCCTCTGCAGTGGGATGGGGGAGAGAATTGGAAGGGTAAGGGTAAAAGTGAGAAAACTCATGGGTTGAGATAAAGGCAGTTTAATAAGTAAAAGAAGGAAACAAAGAAAAACAAAACCAAGGAAAACAAGTGATACAAAAGATCCCAGTGGCTCACCACCAGCAAACCAATGCCCAACCAGTC